CTTATAATTAGGCCGTACGCTCCTTAATTAAAATATTTTATATACTATCTTAAGTCCTTATTAAGATTAATATAAAGTACGTAAGTAAGAACTTAAGTAGGGCCTTAGTAAGTACTTTACGGATTACTAAATACTAAGTATTATTATATATAAACTTAGCTAAGTAAAAACGCTATACTTAATTTAATTAGTCCTAAGTATAAAAATAATAAAAATATTACTTTAAATATTAGTTTTATTATTCTATCTAACCGTCCGTTTATAAATAAAACGTAGTACTAAGACGCCTCTTTATTATTAAAAAGTAATAAAAATAAGTTTAAAACTTATTTATAAATAACGACCCCCTATTAAAAACGATCCCTTTAAGTATTCTAAACTTAATAAAGATCTTTATAAATAGGAGGTTTATAAACCCCTAGGCTATAAGGGTCGTCCTCGTAATAATATAAACGTTATATTTTATAAATCGGTTTATTATAACGAGTACTACGTCGTAAGGGCGCCTTCTAATTAGTATAATTAATATAAGTAAGTTTATAATAAAATTTAATAATATCTCTTACTATAGCTTAATTAGAGTAAATAGAGGGTATAATAAGCTATATAGTTTATAATAACGAGGCTTTATTTACTAGTATATTATATAAATATTAATATAACTTTTTATATCCCTACTTACTCTATTTTAATAATAATAGCGTTTTAGTAACGCTATTATCCGCTTTATATTATAATATCCCGCTATAAGCGTATTATAATATATTTTAATAACCTCCTTTTTTAGCCCCTTATATAGTAATATATAAATATAGCTACTATAATATAATAGCTTTTTAAAGTCGTATACTTAGCTTTATTATTATTTCTTTTTAACTAAGTAAGGCCGTTAGTTCTTTTTAATTTATTACTTATTTTTTATAAAAACGTCCTTTTATTAAATAGCTTATAGTTAACTTATTATTAATAACCCTTTTTTACTAAATACTATTTTAAGTACTCTTATTATATTAAAATCCCGTAAAACGAGTAGTTTATAATTTATAGTTTTAATAATATACTTAAGTAGCTTTTTAAGTACTACGCTATAATTTTAATACCCTAGGCTCGTAGCCCTATTATATTTTTTAAAATACTCTTTAAAGTTCCCTTAAACTAGAGCTCTTAACCTCTTTTACTTATTTTTTTGTATTATTATTAGCTCCGCTTTTAAAATACTTACTATTACTTTTATTTAAAAGCCGCTCTTATAGCTTATCCTCGTATACTTTATTATTATAATTTTAAAGGGCTCTTATATATTTTTAATATTATAAAAGTCTTTTTTTATTTTTAATAATAGCTCCTCTATTTTATTATTATTATTATTTTTATTATAATTAAATTTTCGTAATAATCTATTTATTAAGTTTTTTATACTTAGTTTAAACCTAATTTTAATATTAAATATTATAAATTCGTTTAGTTAGCGTAGCTATTTTCTATTTAATCTCTTTTTTATATTTAAAAACTATAAATTAAAATAATTTATAAATACTACGACCTAATCTCGGCTATAAATAAAGTAGTATTATTAGTTCCTTAATATATTTATAATAACTAGTAGTTCTGCGTTTTTTATACCGTAGTAGCTCTCTATATTCGTTAATTTCCTTAACTTATAAATAATTAGGTACTAATTACTTTTAAATAATTACGTAATTATTAAGTTAATAACTCGAGCCGAAGCGTTTATTTATAATTATATAAGTAAAATAGGGTTAAAATATCGTAGTATTAGCGTATTAATAAATATTATTAATAACTTCTTAAATAACTCTATAGTTAGTATTAATAGCTCTAATTATCCCGGTTTTACCTTTTTTAATAAGTTTATTAAAAGTACTATTATCTTAGTATAATTATTAATAAATTTATAATAGAACCTCGTAAATTTAAAAAACGTCTATATATTTTTAACGTTTTTTAAACATAGCTAATTTGCTATAGCTTCGGTACGCGCGGGTTCTATTTCTACGCTTTTATTAAATATAATATACTTTAAGAATCTTATATATAATATATAAAACTCGTATTTACTACCGTTTAGATATAGGTTTTATTATTATAATCTTTATAATACGCTACGTACGTACTCTTTATATATTACGTAGTTATTATTATATATTAAAATATCGTTTAAATATATAATATAAATAGTATTAACTAGGCTGCTTAGAACGTTATTAATATATATTTAAAAAATTGTAAGTACGTTAGTTAGCTTAAAAAGTATAACTAAGTACTCGAATTACCTATATTTAATATAAAAAGCCGTCTTTTATTTATCGCTTTTAGCTATATATATATAGTAATACGCGTTTTTAAAGTTTAGTTTTATAAAAATAGAGGTATTAAATAGTTTATTTAGTATCTCTCTAATTAGTAATAATAGCGTTCTATTTTTTTATATAATCTTATTAATCGCTCTATAGTTAATATAAAGTTATAGCTCTCCTCTTTTTTTAAATATAAAAAGAATAAGTACTCTTACTAAGCTTATAAAGGGGCGTATTTAGCCCCTAGCCTCTGTTTTTATTAAATAGTTATATAAGATCTTAAGTTTATAATTTAATAATAAGTAAATAAGTCCTTAAGGAATAAGCGCCGCGTTATTTAACTTAATATAGTAGTTATATAGTACTCTATTTAGTAGCGAAATAGCTTTTTTTTTAAAAAATAAATCGTTAAAGTCTTAGTAATATAGTTTTTAATCCTCGGCTACGCTTGCTAATCTTACGTTACTATTTATAATTAAGTTAATTATAATATACGTAAGTATTATTAAAATTAAGTTATTTAATAGCCCCTTTTTTAAGGTATTTAAGTAGATATATCGTTTATAAATTAGATACTATTACTTTTTTTATTTCTAACTAATTAGTAAGTCGATATTCTCTAGCTAAAGAAAACTAAGAATAAGCGTAAGTACTATAATATTAGCTATTATAAAGTAATATAACTATATCTCCGTTACGTAGTTATTATTAATAATTCGAAACTATAAGTAGTAGCTTTTTAATATTTTTATTTATTTATTTTTAACGTTTACTAATTATAATAATAAGTAAATTTATAAATTAATATTAAAACTATTAAGTAGCCCGATACTAACTACGTTCCCTTTTATTTTTAAATTAATAAGGGTACTTAGCTTTTTTTATACGTAGTTTAGGTATATATAGGTCGGGACGTTTAAATACTACTTTTATTAATTACTAGCTACTCTCTTTATTAAAATAGTATTTAAGCTCGTTATTAATCCGCGCTACTTAGCTAGGATAAGGTCTAATTAATAATTAATAGCTTTATACCCCTTTTAATTATATTTATAGTATATAACGCTTAGGTAGTTATTAATAAAGTACTTAGTTTTATTATAATTATAGTATTACTAATATTATTCTTATAATTATAAGTAATCCTTTATAATATAACTAGTTTTTTTATAATTATAATATATAATATCCTTACTAAATAAGTTATAGCGTATTTTTTACGTATTTAACTTATTAATACCCTAGTATTTTCTTATTAACTCGTTCGAGTTTATATTAGAATATTACTTAGGGGGCGTTCATAAGCTCCTTATTAATAGCGAGGATTATTTAATATATCTTATTAATAATATTAATTATAAATAAGTCTATAAAAATTCTATTTATAATACTATTACGAGGTATAGTTCGGGCCGTAGCTTACTTATTAATATAAAGATCCTCTACTTTTTTATTAAAATATATTCTAATTCTATTTTGAGCTTATTAATATAATTAACGAACTCGTCGACTTTTTTTTTTAATTTTATAAGGTATTATTTAATTATATATTTACTATTATTCCTTAGCTAGTAGGATTAAATAGGTTATTTTAAAAAAAAGTCTTTAGTTCTTCTTATATAACTTAGTTTATTATAAACCTAGGGGTCTTTTTTTAGTTAAAAATATAGTATATTTAAGAGGTCTTTACGCTACTACTTAAGTAGTTAACTATATATACTACTTTATTATAATTTATTCTTATTTATTAAACTTATAAGTTAAAATAATAATAATAGTTAAAAAAGAAGTTTTATAAATCCTATACTAATTTATTAATATACGATAAGTTAAAAAAAATAGTAGTTTAAATATAAACGTTCTATTTATAGTACTTATTTAAATTAAAAAAGAGTTAGTAAATAAGGGCTTAAGTAGTACGAACTTATTACTTCATTATTATTTAAGTAGCGCTTTAAGTATAGCTTTATTTATCGAACTATCCTTAGTCCGGGGGTTTATATTCTTATTTATATTAAAATTAATATTTAAAGTTATTATAACTAAAACTATAATCCTTAGTACGGGGGCTGGGTTATTTAAAAAGCTCTATAAATATTTTAAATCCGCTCGTTTTTTATATAAGCGCTTTTTATATATTATAATAAGGATTTCTTTTTTTAATTATTATTCTTATTTTTATAATTTTACTAACTTATTACTTATTATTTAGTTTAGGTATTAATAAGGGAGGGTAAGAAGTTTACTATTTTATTTAAAATTTATTAATATTCTTAGTAATACGGTCTTTTTTTATTATTATTACGTTATTCGTTTTATTATACTTCGTTTTTATATTATTTATTAAAAAGGAAGCGATTTTAAGAGGTTTAATAAAAAAAAGTCGTTTTTTTATTATTATTATAATACTAACTATACTCTCTTATTATATCTCGTTCTTATTAATATTTTAAGCTTTTAGCCTAGTCCCTTTTATAAATAAAAATTTTAAACTATTAATAAGTATATAATATAAAAAAAAAGCTTATAGGGGCTAATTATTATTAAGGTTTAAAAAATAAATTATTAAAATTTACCCTTTTTTTGAGGTATATTACTAATACTCTATATATACCTAAGCTACTCCTTTATTACTTAGTCCCCCTCTTTATGCCCCCTGAGCTATCCCTTAACCGACGAGGCCTAACCGGCGAGGCCTGATAATAGACCTACTGTGGCCTGTAGTCAGTTACGAAGGAATTATTAGCCGATTATAAGAGTCCTCTTCTCTGGTGCGTCCCATGATTGAAATATTTCTGGCAGATCGAACTCGGAAATTTTTCAAGTCTCGCAGTGAGTACGCTGAGAGTTTCTTTCATCTTGAAATTGAACGACGTCCGTGTGCAAACTGAATATGATTTACTTGATCAGACCAGGAGCAACCCTAACGCAGTTCACAAGCAATGTGATCCACGCTGAGGATCAAGATAACGTACAACTCGAATGTCATTCTCAGGATTCAATAACGACACACGTGAGTTCGGGTTCAAGAACTCCAGTGGCTGTGAAGCTTATGCAGACAGAAGGTCATCCTTACCAAGGTCCCCGGTGAGCAGATACAAGTGAGTTCAGAGGGATCTATTACTACGAAATGTGTAACATGTGTACTTAGTCTGGTAGAAGATTGTGAAATGGTCAACACTCAGGCGTGCAAAGAAACCGAGCCACAGTTACTACCTAACTAATTCAGACTTCCTAAGCCGTGTCTTCCCAGCATCGCTATTAGCCGTTATACACGAGGGGAATGAAAACTTTACCTGGGCTTTGAACCCGGGAAAACAGAAGGTACAGTAAGTATATAACCGCTGATAAGTCTTCGGGGGAGAATCTATTTTCATCCTATCTCACTACTCCCACTCCTACCATAGTGGTTGATAATTGTAGAAACATGTATATTCCTTATTTGCGGTGCCAAGCTCAAAACCGATGGCTCGAAGCACCGAGGAATATTCACAGTGATGACCCATGTTTCGTACCCGTAGAATGCAGGGCCCACCAGATTTAGAAGTCAAGTGATCTGATGTTGGTAATTTTCCACTGAATATTAGCCTCAGTAGTCGCTGCCCATCCATGCTTCCATCTTGTAAAATCTCGTTAAAACTTCTCAAAGCTCGCGGCGGTTGTCGTTGGTCGGAAACAAGCTTTGGTTCTGCTATTGGACAATACCCTGGCGTAAGCAGGAGTTTCGTCAGGGAAATTGGGCCCAGAACGTTTTGAGCCGCTTCAGTGATGACTGCTAGCATAGCAGCGTCGTTGACTTCAAAAATAATTTCCCCTTGCTTCGTTTGCATAGGTCCTTCTTCCGATATGATACTGACTCTGCCGCTTGACGGTACGATGGAAACAAGGTACTTCTGGCCTTTCAAGTCTTCCAGTACACTTGCCGACAAGAAGGACTGAATGACCTCCACTATGTTTGACCACCATCGCGGCCGTTCTACATCATCCGCAAGCTGGGAGAAGCGTTTCCACTTCAAAACTTGGTCCAGAGTGTGACTTAAAACACAACGCCACGCCGTTGAGACATCCCTGTAGGAGGCCAGCTGAAGTGGTCGAATGATACTATCATTCAACCCTCTTCGGGTATTCGAGTACTTTCTCAGTACTCTTTGAACCATTGAAAGCTGAAAAGGATTGTCTTCTAGTGAGCAAATTGGGTCCAAACTTATATCGCCTCCGTAGCCGCCAAAAACTACAATGCCTTCACACCCGCTTCGGAGAGCAAGCGACTCTACTAAGGTCACTTCTTCGATACCTGCCGTGGCTACCTGTAGTGTCTTCTCAGCCCAGTCGGCGAATGTTACCTCGAAAAATGCTTGCGCTAAAAAAGCGTGATGTACCTTCCGTGAGTCTGATGTTGATACCTGGTTTTCCAAATTTAAATCCATGGTTTCGAGACACTGATAGGTGAACGAAAGTAAATTATGCGTGATTCGGTGTGATGAGATTCCGGCCAGATGTTGAAAGGGTACAAAGCTTGGGAGCAAATTTCTGCATCTGTCGTATTTTAGTGACAGATGGGGGCTGTTAGGGGGTCCAGTGATTGGAGTGTCTGTTCTATTGCTAATACCCAGTAATATTAGGTCTGTCTTTATCGCCCGTGAAAGAAGGTCGTCTTGCTTCGGGACGTAAGGGCCAAAAAGTTCTTTGCCCTCCTCGCTATTGCAAATGAAATCGATAGCTGTCCGGTGCGTGAAATCAATGCCCGTTTTGCCCCAAGGCTTGAATTTACTCTCGTAATCATTAGGGGACGAGAAAGCTTCTTCGGGCTCAGTGATGTTCAGTAGCCCGGCACACATCGCTGGTAGTTTTCTCCCTAAGCGATACCATTTTTGCCAGAGTAATTCCGTATCGGGTAGCTCCCAGCCATGACTGGACATGAAGGACTCCAGCATCTCATCGTCTGTAGAAATTGCAAGACCAAGGAGGTTGGCGTTACCGTGCCAAATAATAGCACGTTCAGGGTCTGTCTTGAATTCCATGGCCATATAAAAAAGCAAGACTGTTTTCCTTCGATAGAGGTCGCTGTCTTCCTTCAGTCGGGACCACATCTCCTTATACAGTTTCGTCAGGTCCTTGGGCAAGGACTTCACACGACTGTAAAGAGTGTCCATATCATCGTAGTTGTCGAGACCTCGTTTGAGACTATTCAAAACAAGGATTACCCAGATGAAAACTCCTTCGGCCTTTCCACAGATGAGATTGGATAAATGGTTGGTCGTGTAATTGTTGGCGTCAACTTGCATAGCCTCAATTCGTTCTCGCGTGAGCAAGCGGATATCTCGATTGTTCAGATCCTGCATCTTGAGCATCGGGTGCTTTTCGAGTTCGCGCTTCAAGGCTGGCTCAGGACGGCTAGATACACAGACTTTGACTCGATTTGACGTGACAAGGTCGTTTATGAGGCACAAAAGTCGGCCAACTCCTTCATCCGGTGTATCGGCGACTTCATCTAAGCCATCTAAAAGCACCAAATGGAGGCAAGCCGAATTTCGTAGCACATAAATAAGGGTGGTCTCAAGCTCTCGTGCAGTCCAGTCGGTGTCTGCATCTTTCCTCGATATATACGGCTGCCTCTTCAAAACTTCCATTGCGATTCTCTCGTCTTCGGACAGAACTTGATGAAGCAGAGAACAGAGCAGTCCTTTGATACTCTGTTGCATAAAGGTACCAGGTCTCCACAGGTAATGTGATAGAAAACGAATTGCCAGTTCGCGGTTGTTAATATTGCTGTCATTTGATTCGATGTATTTCATCAGTGTGCTCTTCCCAGATCCGGGTTTGCCACTAATCCAGTAAACTTTACGAGTGTCATCTTTCAACCAGTCGATAAAACTGTCCCAAGGCGGAGGTTCAGTTGGTCGAAGAGAACGAGTTGAGCTTCTTGAGCTGGCCGACGACTCAACTGACTCTTCTGACCGAATGCTCGTCGTGTCAACATCGGCAGGTTCATCGCTGTGTGTGCTGGAATCGTCTTCTGTGAGCCATTTGGACTCCCCGTCACTGTCCGAATCCGAGTCGCTGAATCGAAATGTGTCGCTGAAAATCCATCGAAAGGTTCTTGGATGCGATTCTGAAACCTGATTTCTTCGTTCATTCATTCCAGGATACTTGAGACTTTTCAAAAGCTGCTGATAGGCCTGCTCTTTGGCCTTTGAGTCCTCTCTGGACGTCATCCTCTGTGAAAAAGTATCCTGGACATCCCGGGCAGATGATAAAACATGATTCTTGATAGAAATCTCATGACTAGAAAGTTTGAGGGACACGTGTAACTTGATTTCATTCTGCGTCTTCGAGGATTCCATGGTGACGTGGTCTTGAATTCCCTTCGTTTGTGTCTCAATGGCATTTCGAAGGATGCTATTCGAAGCCGCATGGTCTGTGATGAATTCCTGGAGCTCTTGGCTCAGATCTGAAAAGCCCTGGTTGTTCGCTTGGTAGAGTGCTTCTACTCTGGCGAACAGACGCTCGAGAATCGATGTGTCCATGACTTTCTGCGCGTCATCCAGATTCCCTTTAAGTCTCTCAAGTCTCCTCTTCCGCCACAGTATCTTTGGCGCAGCGACCAGCGCTCTAAGTTTGCCTGGTTGACTAGGAGACAGGAACTTCATCTCCTCCTCAAGATCTCTGGCATTTTTGATACACTTGGCGGCAAGGTCGAGAAGTCGCTTCTCCATTGTCGGTGCTCTGGTGGCAGCGGCAGTGGGAGCAGCAGTAGCAACGGGCGTCGGCCGTTTGCCCAAGGAATTTTCCAATCCATCGCACACGGCTTTGAGACTCTCGGCGTGTTCAGAGAGACCAGGCTCTGGGGATCCGCTCTCGTGGATACGTCGACAGATCGAGATGGCCTCGTGGCCGAAGCTGATGAGCTGCATGACGTTGCAGGCGAGGCTCAGGCCCGCGATGCCTTCGAGGCCGGACATGGCGGGCCGTTCCTGGTGACTAGCCCAGTAGGTGAGGTAGGATAGTTTTTGAGCAAGGTAAAATCAAAAGGTTGTCGGTTGCCAGGATCGTCTGAGTTGTCGATCCATGTGGTTTACGCTGAGGGATTTGAGCAAAGAGGCAACAGACGACGATGAGGCACCCAGAGACAGGCAAAACGAGACGATGCAGAAGGGAAGATTGACGTGGCAGGAAATTTGGGAGGGGCGTTGGTTGGGTGCGTTTACTTGGCAAGACGCAGCCTGATTGTGATATGGCAAGTTCGACTGCATTGGAGGAACCGCGCCTCCCTCGTGATCTGACGCGCATTCAGATACACCCAATCAGGTCCCGGTTTCTCATGCATTGCTCGATTGGAAGAGTTGAGTTACACTGCAAATTTCACAACGAGAGACTCGTGATTGGAGATTTTGATGAGCAGCTCTAGGCTTCATTATACATCTAAGGTAGTCCAATACTCCCAGTGATATCAAACCAGCCACCAAATAAGTAAGTAACCAAACGCCATGTATCTCATGCCCCCCTTCTACCGTAACACCCTCTGGTCATCTACTTCCTCGAATGCACCATCCGCCCCTTGACCCAAACCATCTTGGTATTCCGATCATCCCCATTAAACACCCACTTCGCAACCCGATTCTCCCAGCTCTCCCAACCAAACACATCAACATTCCCATCCTCCTCCTGCTCCCCATCCTCATCGACAACAGGTAACCCAATAAGCTGCGCATCCCACTGCAAACCAACCTCAAACCCGCCAATCTTCCCGCCCAACCCAACAACCTTGGCACCGCCCCTCGTGCCGAGATACAGCACCTCCTCAACCGTCAACTTAGCCCTCTCCTTCGCCTCGCCCTGAAGCCCCATCGCAACATGCCTCGACACCAACGCAGCCTGCCTTGCCGCCTCGAGTATACTAGGGCTATACCCGCCGCTCATATCCGTCCCCAACCCGACATCGATCCCCTTATCCCACAACCACCTCACCCTCGCCGCACCGCTCGTGATGGAGCTGTTGCTACACGGACAATGCGACACCTTCGCGCCCCGCTCCGCAATCGTATCCGCCTCCTTCTCCGACAAATGAATCGCGTGCGCGAGCACCATCTTCTCCCCCAACAGCCCATGGCTGTCATACACATCCGTATAACTCTCCGCCTCGGGGAACAACTCCTTCACAAGCTCAATCTCCCCCTCATTCTCCGAAATATGCGTCTGCGCGAGCACGTCCAACTCCCGCTGCAACCCCGCCAGTCCCCTCATCGCCTCCCCCGAACAAGCCGGCGCGAACCGCGGCGTCAACACCGGCGCAACGAGCTCAAACGCCGGGTCGATCCGCCGGATATGCTCCACGCTCTCCCTCGTCTTGCGCAGCGAGTCGGCCGCGGACTCGTCCTTGTAGTAGTCCGGGCACAACCCTTCGCGGTCCATGCATACCCGCCCGACGAACGCGCGCTGGCCGAGGGCGAGGCAGATGTCGGCGAGGAGGTTCGTTGCGGCGACGTCGATGGTGGCGTAGTATGCCGAGGTGGTGGTGCCGTGGGCGAGGGTGCGTTTCACGCAGGCCGTGTAGACGCGTTTTGCCTTTTTCTGGTCGGCGAGGGAGGACTCGAGGGGGAAGGTGTACGTGTTTAGCCAGTCGAGGAGGGTTGATTTGCCAAAGATGCCGACGTTTGGATATTGTGATGCGTGGACGTGGGTATCTGGTGGTGGGGCTGGTTAGCTCTGGGTACGATGTCTCACTACGGGCGGGAGAGCATCCCGAGACAGATGATCATTATCCCGGGCGCACGAAGAGAAAGAAGGGGTCTGAACATACCGATGAACCCAGGAAAGAAAAACTGCCCCTCCTTGCCAACACAAACCTCGACATCGCCAGCTGCCCAGCCCAAGTGCGGCAGAACCTCCGCCTCGGCCTTCTTTAAATCGCACTCCGCCTCAACAGCGACAATCGTTCCGGCGGCATCGACGCAGACGGCCGCGCCGTGGAGGTACTCGAGCTGCTCCTTTGTCTTGGAGTGGATGAAGGAGCCGAGGAAGAGCTTATTGCGCGGCTGCGACTGCGCTTGCGTGGGAGTCTCCGTTGCTGGTGCGCCGGCGGGCGGTAGGTCCCTGATCATGTCGCCCATTATGCTATTGCTATTCGTCTACTGTTTTGACCAGAGTCGATATTGAGACTCTCTTGAGAAAAGTGTCCAAATGAAGGTTCGGTGGTAGACTATATCGCAGGTGGCCGTGACATCGGGATACTCTGTCTTCGGTCTTCGGTTGTCGTCGGCAGAGTCGGCGGCGGTTGAAACGAAAATCCCCACCACGTTGCTCTCTCCGTCTTCTTTGTTTCCAATTCCCCGTGTGCTTCCAAAGGCGCAGGTGATCGCTAATGCTGACAATTCCCTCTCACCGAGGATACCACAGAACGATGGACCGGAATGGCAATTGCTGGGTCAATGCCCTCAAAGGACAGCAGTCACGGGATGAACGTTGCAAAAGGTGGTACGGAGAGGATGAGGTAAGTGAGGTAAGGCAGAAAAGGTAAAAGATGGGTATCGTCTCTTCGGTTCAAGTTTCCCAAAACCCCTCTGTTCAAAAGCAAGAAAAAAGCGAAGGGGGAAAGAAAAGGAAGAGAAGGGAGACACGGTAGATATATGCGGTGCAACAGATGACGCGAAGCCAAAGAAAGCATGTGCTTCGTCCTTTTTGTCAAGGTCAAGGTAAACGTAGTTCGCCCGGCGGCCGTCTCCTTCCACGTTCGGGTCTCCCCAGGATGCTACCGGTACCCCCCAATTTACCCCTCCAAGAGATAAGACGCGGAATACGGAGACGGACTGATTGACAGGGGATGGGCCCGACTCAACGGGACTAAGTGTCAAAGCAAAGAAGCTTTCCTCTCTGAGCGTAGCTGACTACCTAAACCAACAACAGGAACAAAACTGCATTAGTCAAAAGTCTGGAATTAGGATTCGTTGGGTTACAATTGCATACCAGTCTTCTCGAGGTACGGGACTGCGACCCCAAACTGCTGCCAAACACCACCAATGCGCGCCCCGCCCCCCACTTCGCAACGCACCGGCCGCACGTCGTACGGCGCTCGCCGCTGGCCGACCGCAGCTCTCATCCCCCTCGGCTTGACTCCATCCGGATAGCTCTCCAGCATTCCCATCATAGCTCTTCCTATCCACATCACCCCCGTTCCTCAGCCCTTCCAAGTCACGCCTCGATCTATTCAAGCCACCGCCTGATAAGTTTGATAAGCATCCTTTGTTCGTCAGGGCGGCACGGCATGGCCATGTCTTACTCTTGGGACACTCTTGGATAGGCTGATTATCGCAAAACCACATGGTCCTCCACCGCCATTCCGACTCTTCCCAAAGTCATAATGTTCTCATCTTCCCCTCGAGACGGGTAGTCGAACCCGTCCCGCGCTTCCGTCCGCATGCTGCGCCAGTCGGGAGAAGCATCAGTGTTCCGGGTCCCTGCAGTCACTCTTCGTAGATCCCCGCTGTCAAAATAGCTGCTGTGCTTGCCAGCTGCCACTAGCTTTCCAGTCATCAGTCATTGTATCACCCTCTGCCTTGTTTGCCCGTCAGACAAAGCAATGCCATCGGACATTTTATCACACGCCTCTCGGAAACTTTATACAGCTTGTTGAACCTTGGTTGCTCTATTTCTCTTCTTGTGCCACAATTAAAACTCTAGAATAATAAACGCCCCAAACATTTCATGTAATGACCAAACACAAAGCTTTCTAAAACGCAGCATGATAAAACAGTCATCAAGAAACCACATCCCTAATTTGTACAACCCTTACGCCGTCTAGAGTCATTCAATGCCCTCCTCCTTCTTTTTATCATTCGTTATACCGTAGCCCGATTGCTCCTTCTGTCAAGTACGCATACACAGCTTATGCTGCGGTACCAGGGCCCTCATGCTCACCAGCGAGGCCGTTGACTCCGTTGGGGCCAGGGCCGTCCTGGGTGTACTGATCCCAGTTCGCCAAGATTTGAGCAATCTTGGGTGAGTTGGTCAGCTTGTAAACATCCTCAAAGTATTCCTTGGTGATGGCGAAAGGCTTCGCTGTCACGTTGGGGATGTATTTGCCGACAAGCTTGGCAGGGTCGATCGTCGTCTTGTTGATCTTCTTGAGAAGGAACGATCTGAAAGGCTTGACGCCAGACCGCAGGAAGGTCGAGTGGAAAGGCACATCGATACCGCGGAGAGGAATCGTTGCGAAGCCACGCTGGAGCTCCAGGGGCGTGGGCTTCTTGAGGGTCGCCTCGGCACTGCCCTTGATGATCTCCTTGAGAGCACCCTTGGCCTCGTCGATGTTGCCACGCATCTCCTCAATGTCAATCTTCTGTTGCTTGAGGAAGTTGGTGACGCCAGTGAGAGTGTCGAGCGCGCGCAGGTCACCAGCAGCCACGTACTGCATGTTGGCAATGTTGTAGTTGACAATCTCAAGGAGCCAGCCAGTCTCCTCAGAGATGCAGTCGACAACGAACTGCAGAGCCTCCTCGTTGAAAGTCTTGGAGATTCTGCTCGGGTTGATGGCGCACATGGAGTAGTTGGATCGGCCAGCGGCGTCACGCTCGACAGCGACTTGCATGGTCAAGCCACGGTAGAAGACGACCGACACCAAACTCTCAATGGGCATGACCTCGGCCAAGGCGGCGAGGGCAGAGTACTCACCCAGGGAGTGACCAGCGAAAGTGCAGTCACGGGGAACAAGACCCTTTGACTTCATGTCCTCAAAGCTAGCCTTCTCCATGAGGGTAAGGGCAGGCTGAGTGAACTGAGTGGCGGACAGCAGGCCAGTGGGCGAGCGGTAGGTGTAAGAGGTGGTCTTCTCGTCAATCTCCTTGAAGATGCGCTCAGACTTGATGCTTCCATCGGCGGCAACGGTCTCGAAGGTCATGGCCATGTAGTTCTGGCGGATGGCCTTGCCGCGAGGGCCACCGAAGTAAACGGTAAGCTCCTTCGGGTT